CCATGGGGGTAGATTGTTCTAAAACTAAGATATCCAAAGGCATGGCATGTGGAATGAGAAAAATCTAACCCCATGGACTAAATAAAGGGATCAAGGGTAGATTGTTCTAATTCCACATGCGATGCCTTTGGATATCTCAGTTTTAGTTAATTCCCCTTGATAACTTAACTCTCCCAGTTTTTGTTCCCTCTGCTGTGGCTAGGTATTGAACTCACAACTCTTTGGGCCAAGTCACTTTCAATCAACCAACCAATGCTATCCTCTCTCTTTCTTTCTTTCTTGCACTGAAACCAAGCAGCATCTCTAATGTGTCTTTTCCATCTTTCCTCACAATCAAAACAGAATAGTTCATTAGGTATTGGCAGGTTGTAGCATACATGCTAACTAAGAAAGCAGAATTATAATATACTTAGTGCATTTTCTTTAATACTTTAACAAAATTCTAAACCAACTTGAAAAACTAATGCAAAAGTTGCCATGGTAATAGACAGGCTTCCATGACCTGACCAGATCTAGGATTAAATTATTTTTCATCATTAAAAATAAATCCATACTAAATATTTTATTTTTCTTTATTCTGCATGTCACAATACCAAGAGACTCTCCCCTTGCCCCAACAAAAACAAACAGGTTATTAATTATTGGTATGCATCAAGCAAAAATCCCATGAGGCAATTATCCTTTTAATTTTTCATGAGCAAATTATAAAAGCAACTAAAGATTAATAAGACATTTTGTCTCATGGAACTGCTGTGTCTTCATGTTGAGATGAATGAAATGTTCATAATATTTCAATAATTTGTTGTCTAACAGATGCATAAAAAAACTTTTTCAGATTAAATGTCTTCAGTCACTTTCCAAGGAGTTAATTGTTCTGTCATCAACATAGAAGCCAAGTCGGGTGTTGATGTCATCAGGAAAGTCATTCATGAAAATTAAAAATAGGACCAAGAATGGAGCCTTGGGGGATACCTGCATTAGTATGAAGGGATCTAGACAAGTGGCCATTCAAGATAACTCTCATTTCATGATTTTATAGGAAACACTGGCTCAGTTCAAAAAAAAGTGTCTGGTGATACTGTAATTTTTCAGCTTGCGGAAAAGACCTGAATACCAGATTCTTGTTTGACATGCAAACAATTATTTTTATTTCATTGATGATTTTTGCAGAATTTCACAATTAATTTTAATTATTTCCCAATTTATTTCCAAGTTATAGAAATTGTTATTTTACAAAAAAATTTGTCACAAAAAAATGTTTAAAAAAAAAAAAAAAATATCACTGAGAAGAATCACAGTAATGAAAACTTTGGAATCCAAAATTTTAGGATTGCAGATCTGGATCTGGCCTAGAATGTTTTTAATTTTCTCATGGAGTCAGCCTGATTCCAAAATGGTATGATATTTTGGGCTACAGCCTCTAAAAGTAAAGTTGAAAACAATATTATTTTGAAACACTGTAATTTGAGAACAGTAATTTTTCCATTTGAAATGAGCTATTGAAAGTTAGAGAGTTGTGTCCTTTTAAGTTAAAAAGGTGTGACACACTGACATTTGCATTTATCATACAGATGAGAGTAAATTGTTCACATTCTGCTATCCATGTATTGGAATATCTTACCTTGTTGTTCTTTAGTACCACTCAGTTATTGCTCACCCTGTTTCCACCGATTCTAATTCTGTACTACCAAGGATTGAACTCACAATTATTGTCACCAAATTCACAAACTAACACTTTAATCCACTAGGCTATTGTCCTTCAGATGCTTGCCAATCTGAGTAATATTCAGAGAATGCCAAAGTGAACCCTTTATTTATGGGAGTAGGAAGTTCTCATTCCAAAGTCCATGTTTTGAGAATCTTATTTTGTTTCTATTTAGTACTGCTCAGTTATTTCTCTGTTTCTACTAAGTCTAAGTTTGAATGGGATTAAAACATTGGTTTATGAATTTAGGGACAGAGTTCAATCCTGTCTCTGGATCAATGGAAACAGAGCAAGCAATAACTAAGCAGTACTAAGCATCTGAAGAAGGCCAGAGGGCACCACTGATGAAATGTGATAATAACAACAAAGATGAGCACAATAATCCAAGTGTAAATAAGATGCATAACAGATATCATCAAACTGAACCAATATTTACTCAACCATCTGATCCAACCAGTAAAAACCTGACTCCTGTCAATATTTATGATTGTCAGCCTTATAAAATAGCTCATCTCCATTATGAACATATAAAAGTTGTTTCTGTCTATATTTCTGAGATGAGATATTATATACACTATTTACATTATTTGGACTATTGTCCTCATCTTTGTCGCCATATTTATTACAACTTTTCAGCTGTTGTACGCTCTGGCCTTCTTCAGGTGATTGGAATGTTGAACTGAACCCTTTATTTTGCTCACTGGAGTAGACTGTTCTAGTTCCACGTGCCATGTTTAATGGATGTCAGTTATCTTCTGTTAATTCCGCTCTGAAAGTTCTCTCCACTGCTTTTTGGGTCCTGTCAATGGATCTAACTAACGCCTTTATCCACTGTGCCATGTGTCCTTGAGGACATCTGTGTATTGTAAACCTAATGTCTTCAGCAACCATTTTTTACCAGTGCTTACTTTGCAATTTTTGCTGTTATCAGTTATGTTTTTACCAGAGCTCATACTGCAATTTTTGTTGTTTGTAGAGAGTTCAGTTCAACATTCCAACCACATAAAGAAGGCTGAAGCATACAAAGGCCGAAACATTGTAACAAATATGGTGGCAAAGATGAGGATAATAGTCTGAATAATGTAAATAATGCATAAAAGTTGTTATTTAACATTGCAAAAACATTTACACTATTTACAGTGTTATCCTCATCTTCATTGACATATTCATAATATTTTGGCAGCTGGACACTATGGCCATCTTTAGATGATAAACATTGGAATTTTGAACCAAACAATTTCTCAATATCAGTTAATTCCCTTTTATCCACTGGGCCATGTGTCCTTGGCAGATGGTAACAATATATTTAATAATAGTTAGTTAGCTAGTTTGTTATTAATTGTAGTTGCTGCACACAAAATGAAAAGTAACTAGTTGCCAAATTTGCATTCAGAAGAAAGTAACTTTAATTGAATATTTTCAGATCAAAAGCCACAGTTTCATTAGATTTAGCTGCTAGGAAAACTGACAAGTGTTTAAATTTAAAACAAGTTTTAGACTGCACTGATAGGGAATTAATTTCATGTTCAAATTCATAATTGTTAATACCTGCATTATGAACCTACTTAAGAAGCTTTTGCAGATTAGGGTGACCGAATTGTTTATTTAAATTACTAGCTTTTCTTTTTTGTTTATTTAGCATTGTTGATTTTGGAGGACAACTGAATTCTGATCCAGTCGTAAACAGAAAGGCTAGGAAAACTGACCATATTAAAGTTGTTTTGACTTGAAGGCAAATCAGTGTGATTTCTCATCTTCAGCATAGCATAGTTGCTCATTTGTGACCCTGGCCATCTGCTAAAACCCATTGGTGTTTCTTCAACACACACAGAGCAAATCTGTGATTTTAGTGCAATTATGTTCAGCAGACCTTAGTTACAATTCAAGTATATGCCCCACCAGGGCCACACACAATTTTGGGTTGGTTTGTTGATTGATTTTGTCATGCAGCATATCAACACTTCTATGGGTTATTTAATGCCAAAATCTATATATTTTGTACACAATTTTATGGCTTCAACTAAATATATTTTGAAAACAGTTGTATTCCTTCAATTACTTATTGTATATATATATATATATATATATATATATATATATATATATATATATACACACACACACACACACAAAAGTTTTGGATTCAGTTATCTTTCTCCTATACTGGTTGCCAACCATTGCTAGAGAGTCCAGTCTGCAGAGAGCTGGGAGAGAAAGGAGATCGATTGATACCTTTCCAAATGGTATTTGTGCAAAAGTGAATACAATGATTTTAACCAGAATTCAAACATGATTCATTGAATTTTCGTTCCAGATCTTTAACCATTACACCACTTATAAAAATAAACTCACAAAAATTATTGGTACTCAGACATATGGACATTTAGCTGAAAATATAGTGGCATACTTACATGTATGTCACACTTTTTATCGTAATGTGCTATATATATTTACTGTATTAATTTATAATTTTTCTTTTTTTTTCACAGGCTTTTTTTAAAACCTATTCTGTATACATTATATTGTACTTCAAATATTACTGTAAGTATCATGAGTAAAAGTATATTTTACTACAGCAAAAATCTTAAGCCTTTATGATATGAAAGATTTTTCAATTTCACCTTTAATGATCATTATCTTAAAGGTATGAACAAGCTTTTATCTTACTGTTAAATATGAATTTAAATAATTAAGTGCTACTTTTGACCCAAATACACTCAAATATTTTAAAAAATACTAATTTCAATAAACAAACATTGAAATAAGAAAACTTTTAACTTTAAATTTAGATTTCATAATTGAATCACTTGAAATTCTGTGCTAATTATTAGTCCTATTCTACCTTATCATAATGGTAATTAAAATACTTAAAGTATTGCTTGTTATTATTTTTACTTGTACTTTTTTGATGAAATGTCTGTTGGTCAAATGTCCGGCCACAGAATAATTGTATCCTTTAGAATTATGAATTATATCATTATCATTATTTTGCTCTTATTGTTTCATTACAATTCATTCAGCCAATACATTCTACAGCTTTCTTCATTATTTGCAATTCTAATTTGTCTCATTATCTTGTCTCTTCCGAATTGTGTTCTTCTTGTAGATCTTAGTTACAGTTCAAATACGTGATCAATCAGGGTCATACATTGAATGCAGAGTTTTCCTTCTCCTATAATGGATGCCAAACATGGCTGGAGAGTCTAATCTACTTGGCTATTTAACACATAGCAATAGATTCATGCTTTCCCAAAAGGTATTTCTCATTCCAAGCTTTTAACCATTACAGGCTTACAACCACATCATGCTGAAACACTGGTTCCCATATGATCACCAGAGTTAAGCAATGTCAAGCCTAGTTAGTACCTAGATAGGTGACCACTTGGAAATATCAGGTGCTGTAAGCTTGGATGTGCTGGTGGGGTAATGGACAATGGCTCAGAATTGGAAATTGATGAGTCGAGTTCTAATCTCCAATCGGACTTGTTATATCCACTTACATGTAAATACCCTTGGGAAAAGTATGTATCCACCCCCCCAGACAAAGGGTTAATTAGTATGACTTGTATCAGTAAAATCCTTAATATCTCAAAAAAATTCTTGCAATCTAATAATTATTTCTGGCTTTAAATAACCTTCAAAGGGTTGGTAAGCTGTAAAAAATAAAATAAATTACACCACCTGTACATGTCATGATCTAAACAAGTAGATTGCAATTTAATCAATTTTCCCCCACAGAATACGATTCTCAAAATTCAAATTTTTTATATTTTTTTTTTTCAAGATTTCTTACATTTGATAACATCATTAGTTACATCAGTACTCATATCTCTAATCAAACAATGAAGAGTCAATTTATTGTAGACAGCACTGTGATACCATTACCAAAGGTGAACGTCTAAGCAAACAATGTCCACACCGGTTTCATTATTTTAAATTAGTAACACAAATTGCAGATAATGCAGCTGTAGATCTGCTACTTAAAAAGATGAATTGTCAATTCACTTTTTTTTCTTTTAGCAATTTACCTCATACCAAATCCTTCAAATTTTCATAAATCTTTCATCCATAAGTTTAAGAGGTCACTTGTATTGATATCTAGTTGTATTTACCTTTGACTATCCCTGAACTATGCCTGACAAACTGTACAATCTCTCAGATCAGCGACTAATCCAGTATGGCTGCCACCAATACCACTATTTGGGATTTTTAACTGAAACCACTAAAACACCAAACAAGTTATATATATTAATAATAATGATTGCAAAAATTTTCTTGGTACCTGTTTTATTAATTTTCATTGAAAATTTCAAATTGATGCATGGCTCAATTTTTTTAAACTATTTGTCACAGCATGTCAGAAAAAAATCATATCGACTTGAAAGTGAACTAAACATGCAAGCAAAATAAAACTTTCAGAAGTTGTTTATGTTTGCCTATTTGCTAATGTATACCATGTGGTTCATATATGTCCAACTTACATAAAAGCCGAATCTTATTTAATAACCACACCTTGTATATCATTTAATAAGAAATACTATTTTCTCACTTTTTAAAGGAAACTTCAAGATTTTTATCACAGAACTGACAGTCGACATTGAGTACAATAGTCAGTCTGTATGGTTTTTGAGACTATTTTCTTTTGTTGGTAACATGATATTTCAAATATTCTCTCATCTTCTTCAGGCTTATATTGCATCTAGTGGTCTTTCAAAGTTAATTAATATTATTTAATACTTTGGCAATTTTGTATATTTACAAAACTTCCATTAACTATTGTTGACATATATACCTATGGTTTCAATATGTACTTATACATCTTTATAAAACTTAAATTGTCTGGTGTTGACATGTACTTGTGTGTGTGTGTGTGTGTGTGTATGTGTATATATATATATATATATATAAAAATATAGTTTTAAGGTATGCTATGAGTTAAAAGAGAACATTGCAGTCAACAACCAGCTGTGACAGTCTGTTTCATGCTTAAATGAAATCTTCAGTCCATGTGTGTTGCATTTTGTTTCGGCTATATATATATATAAATAAGCTATTCAATGCAGCATTATGGGTAGCAACGTCTATTGTATTATTCTAATGGTTATTGTGTAGGTGGTATTGGTTATGTTTCAAATTATTTTAACAGCTATTGAGTAGAAATAACTGTGAATCCAAATGCAGTTATTTGTAACTATCTTTTTAGTATTGTTTGTTGACTTATTTTCTCGTTATTTTTATTGCCAATTACTTTATTAATTATTGTTGATTATTGTTATTATTACTTGTGTTTTATATACATACATATATGCGTGTGTGTTTTCAAGAAACCCTGTAATATTAGACTGTAGAGTTTGTGTGATAAACTAAATTGGATTTTGAGCTATTACTAAAGTAATCCAACTGCTGAAGATATCTCTTTGATGGGCTTTTATATTCTTTCAAAGGCTCAAATCAGCTCTGTTTTTTTTTTGTTTCTTTAGGCAGGAGTGGTTGCTATTGGGTGGAAATTCTGAATTGTATTGCTTATTTTTTCTTTGAGTCTGTGAGTAAAAACAGAAGGTATATGTGGAGCCTTGTGCAGTTTAGTTCAGTTTTGGGTGTTCAGAGCATTCACATCTACCTATTGGCGGAAATTAGTGTAGCATGGATCAGAAGATCTAGTTTTAGTAACAATGTAACATTGAGGACCTTAAAAGAGTAAATAATACGAAAAGTCCAAGCAGAAGAGGTTACTCTAAATTACCAGGATCTAGAACAAGTAGAATTTGTGTTGTTTAATCATGCTTCTTTTGATAATCTCCCCAATGGTGGAAGTGGGTTTTGTTATATTTTTGAAGGGGCGAATGGTAGAATTAATCCCGTCACTTGGTAGTCAAAGAAAATAAGAACACTAGTATGAAGTACATTAGTACAAACTAGAAAAATATCTCCTACTTTCTATTGTCCACATATTGCTCTTGTAACTGTTAAGTTGTTGAGTGAATCAGGTGTGTATTTGCTACCCAGCAAAAGTATCGAACTGATGGCCCTGAGCTAATGTAAACTTGTGATTTAATAAGTTGACCTGTTCCGCCTATAGTTGAAATGGGTTCTGCCCACTAAGTTCTATATAAACATGGTTTTTCCACTGGTGGGAGTGGGGTCAATCTATTTGCCTAGTGAAACTATATCAGATCTGATAAATATTAAAAGAAACATGGGTCAGGAGTTAAAAAAACAAAACAAAATGATCTCTCATTTTATACCTATCTATGGTTATTGGGTCCAATGTGTGTGCGATTAGATCAATACCCTTGAGAAATGTATGTATCCACGTCTTCCCCACCCAAATAAAGGGCTAATTAGTATGACTTGACTTGGATGTGCTAGTGGGGTAATGGACAATGGCTCAGAATTGGAAATTGGCGAGTCGAGTTCTAATCTCCAATCGGACTTGCTATATTATTCACTTATGTGCAAATACCCTTGAGAAATGTATGTATCTACCGCTTCCCCCCCACCAAGGGTTAATTAGTATGACTTGTATCAGTAAAATCCTTAATATCTCAAAAAATTCTTACAATCTGTGATGCCATTACCAAAGGTGAACATCTAAGCAATGTCCACATTGGTTTCATTATTTTAATTGGAATATAATAAGAACAAAGATGAGGACAACAGTCTAAAAGTAAATAATGGAAAAAAAAAAAAAAAATCACAATTTTTTTTGGGGGGAGTAGTGTTGGATACTAACAATGTTATTTAATGTTCATAAAATTCTGAAATGAATGATTTTATGTAAAATTCAAATTATTATTATGACATAGAAAAATAGAACTAAACATGTTTTATCAACTCGATACGATAAAGAATTGTTATCTTATTCTGTGGGTGAATCAGGATATGCATTTGTACAGCAACCAATATTGTTATCTTTCATCTGAATGCTCTGGTCACTATAGATTTAGTTTAAACAGCAGAACAAATAAAAAGAGACTTGTTTCATTTTGATAGACTTTGCAATTCAGACAAGAAGGCTCATCATTCACAGCATTTCAACCTGTTGTATGCTTTTGTCTGGACATTTGAAATGAGGAATTATCATTATTATATACTTTGCTAGTTGGAGTAGCATGCTCATCTTGGGTTTTATACTCACAATATTTCAACTTTTGTACCTTCAAACCTTCTTCAGCTGTTTGCTGATGGATCATTCTCTTCTATGTCCCATGTCCCTTCAGGACGTTGGTAATCATAGGTCTCCACAATTTTCTGACCTTTTGTAGCTCTTAATAGATTTTATCTTTTTGTTATCTCTTCTATAACTCGTTTCACCATCCATTTACTCAAGCTCACTAGGTAGATTATGTGTTGTTTTCCTATATCCCTCTGGCCTTCAAATTTTCCAAGCCCCCTTTCTTTATTATGTGGCCCAGAAATTTCATCTATCTCTTCCTGATGTTAAGTATAAGTGTCTTTGTTGTTGCTCATTTGTCCAGCAAATGGTATCTTACTTATTATAAAACGCAGATTGTGTGTGTGTGTCTCTACGTTTATATATTGGATCGGATTTCCTACATTTTTCAACCGATTTCAACAAAACTTCACAGGACTGCGTAAAATTACCTTGCAGTGGTTCTGACAGTGTCAAAAATTGGAAAAACACAATTGTTTTTGCACAAAATCAATTTTAAAACATGATTCTGTCGCCAGAATGAAAGGTGGACAACACATATCAAGTTATGCTTATTATAAAACCCAGGTTGTTTGTGGGAGTGTGTGTTTGTTTATATATGGGATCGGATTTCCTACATTTTTCAACCAATTTCAACAAAACTTCACTTTTTTTTGGCAGGTAGTGTTTCTTATTGTCTTGCACACTTTTTTCTTTATTTTTACATTCAGAATGCTTTAAAAATTCCATTTACAAGACAATTGTTTATAATAAAATTCTATTCAATCGGTAGACTCATAACGATTGAAAACAATGTTTTTGTTTGAGTTTGACCAATTCGTAAAAAAAACAAAAAAAAAACTAATTAAGACATGCGTGTCCATCAACCTTAAACAATAATCTTTGTCAATTTTATTTTTCAGTCTTTATGATGGTCGATACTTGATCTATCTCTTACTGTTACATCTCCGGGCAACACCGGGCTCTACTGCTAGTTCTCAATATACAGAACCTATACTGGCAGCAAACTGCCTTTATATGGATAAAAAATGAATTAATGGTTGATACAATAACCAAAACATTGTCATTATAACAACCAAGATGAGGATGCTGCTTTGAATAGCAAAGAATATAATAATGATAATTCCTCATCTCAAATAGTCTAAAACAAGTGCAACAGACATCTGAAGATGACTGGATAGTACAATGCCCAAAATGTTTAGTGTAACAATCAAGATGAATATGCCAGTCC